AGATGTGCAAAGTTATGCATAGATGTTGAGGAAATTGTTATCAAGATAACAAGCCGAAGACATTTAATTATACTGTTATTTGTCACACCCCGTTCCTCAATTTGAAGAAATGGGCAATCTGTTAAACAAGTAGATGGAAAAGGGATGTTGAATTAATGGATAAACAACCTTCACATTTTCTCAATTGTGTGTTTCTCCCCCCAAAAAAGTTAACAAATTGAATAATTTCTGCTAACAAGGGGAATGTAATTCATCTCCATACACTCTTCAACTGGCTGCTGATTGCAAGCGTAGAGAGGCCTTAACCTCTATACAAAAATCACATCTCCTGACAGAAGTGGATGCACTCCAATGATTCTGATCAGATTTATCCCCACTGAGGCCATTCCAATCACATTAGAAAGAAATTCGCATGCCCGACTCCTCTTGCGTAGCCCTTTCCATTCAATTCAGCCTCGAAAAATTGGTTGAAATGCCACCTGATGGGTGACTGAATGCACTTTGTGGTGCTTCTTTCAGCAAGCAGAATCAAGTTTCTCATTTTAGTTTAAGGTTTGTCATCTCTTTTTAAATGATTTTTTTTTTTTGCAGGGTAGTACATGGTGGCGCTGCACATTGGGGCCTAGTTGAAGGAAATTATTTCTCTCTTTCTCTGTTTTTTATTGTTCTGTATTTCTCACACAGCTTTTAGCCGTCTCCTTTCTGTTTATACTCCTAAGGTGTTTTTTGACCTGTAACCAAACCACGCAAGTCAATAAAGTCGTCATGGATGTGGTCATAAGCCTCGTCTGAACATTTAAAACACAACTACTAGGGTACATGCGGCCTCATACACGAAAACACACACACACATGCACACACAGGGCACAGAAGGATACCCACTGTGCCGTCGTAGCCAGACAGCTCATTTAGAACAGCCTTCAGTCCTATTCGGGTGAGATTAATTTTAGAGGCTGACTAATGTAGTAATTGTCACAGCATGTTAGTGATTTTTCAGTTCCATCCAAATCTCATGTTAGTATTTTTTTTTCACTGTCTGTGTGTGTGTTCTGGAAGCGGGGGGGGAAAAAAATCCGTATTATCTATAAATACCGTTATCTCTCCTGTAAAGGCAGTGTAACAGAGTGCATTCTGATTCACTGCTGCTGGGTTTTGTTTTTGTTAATTGTTTTTCTATTTCCTAGTGGAAAAAGGTATTCTTTTATTGGTTTTATCACCACGGAAGCACTGAGCAAAGCTTTTAGTTTTTGTCCTCCTTGACCATTATCTTGTGCCAAGGTAATGCCCCAACATACACCTCAACATCCATTAGACTTGTAAGATGGCGAGGCCAGAAAATGAAGCCAAAAACCCGATCAAAACTTTTTCATGCACATTGCAGATTTCCAGTGCATTGGCATTTATAATTCAGGGAAACTGTGAAACATGGCCACCACCTGTGTAGCTGTCAAGTTAGGATGGAAGGTGTTTACTGGCTTAGTCATGAGGAAATGAGACGACCATTTCTCAGAAACACTTTCAAGTGCTTGCCAGTCGAACAGTGTCTGTCCCCCGACTCCCCTCCTACACCTTTCAAATGTCAGAATTGGGGGGGGGGACTTAACTTTCCAAAACCAACAATGTGATATTTATACCCACCTCACGTAGTGATAGGCCAGGTATGCAGAGCAGAGAAAGTAAGCAGGTTTTGAACTTTTGAACTCTCTTTTTTAAAAATAATTTCCACGACTATTTATGACACTTATTTAAATAAGTACCAAACTGCGACATACTGAACGCCCACCAGAAAATGTTGGGTCTCATCAACTTTTTTTTCTTGTCTGTCACTGTTTTTTACTTTGATTATTTCTTTCTTTTCTGTGATGATGTCCTAGAAAATGTGTTTCCCTCTCTTTTTCCTTTTTGTCTCTTTTTGTTCTTCTTCATCTTCACACCCTCACACATCCATTTACACATAAATACTTGCTGGAGCTTCACATGACACCTCTTATACACCACAACAATTCACCCTGCCCTTCGCCGTAACTATGTTGTTCCATCTCATAAACTGTTGTGGTGCTCTGTCTTAATACCTGTGTGTTCTGACACATCCATCATTGTCAAATCGTTGTTAGATTGCACTGATAGAAGAAAACAGCGGTGAGGCGACACGTCGTACAAACTACACACGCTTCTTTCTGAACACACCTCTGCCTTCACCACTATGTAGATCCCAGCACTACAGGAAACTTTTGATTTTAAGAGAAAGTGTTGCTTGTTAGCTTATTATGAGCATGACCTTTTCTCTATGTCTCATGATAAGGTGCTGGTCTTTAGAGATTTCATTCAATCAAGACTCGCTCGAGTACACTTGACTGTGAACTGAATGTGCCTCCCTTGACACTCACATTCAACACTTGCAGAAACTTTTTTCATGAATGTTTTTTTTTTTTTGTCACTTGTAGGTATTAAGTAATATATCTGTTGGGCTATATTATCAGCTGATATTGGTGCGTATGTAGTCTGATATATGTTGATATGAGAACTTTTTTTTTACAGAACATAATATAGAAAACCTCTGGGGAATTTAGAAACAGTGCTATCTGTTTGTCCAACAGAGCAGCTCCCCCTCCAGTCTGCAGCACATGTAGCAGAGTATGCATCACACAGTTAGACCATTCTCTAGTGTTGACACAGTGCTGTGTAGAATGGCCTGGCTACATGTCATTATTCTGCTATAGGGGAAAACAACGCTCCAGTATTTCTTTAAACCAACTAAAATTGCTCTTTGGTGGAACTAAGAACAGGATGCAGCAATGGTGTTCACTCAAAATATGAAAGGAGGAAAGTTTTTAGTAGGGGGCTGCAAGGTGGATCAGTGGTTAGCACCGTCGCCTTGCAGCTAGAAGTTCGCCAGTTTGCACCCCGGGATCTTTCTATGTGGAGTTTGCACGTTCTCCCCGTGCAGCGTGGGTTCTCTCCGGGTTCCTCCCACACAGTCCAAAAACATGTTGAGGTTAATTAGTGATTCTAGATTGTCTGTAGGTGTGAATGTGAGTGTGCTTGGTTGTCTGTCCCCTGCTGTCACCCTAAGTCAGCTGGGATAGACTCCAGCCCCCCAACGACCCTAGTGAGGATTAAGCGTTGTATAGATAATGGATGGATGGATGTTTTTAGTCGACAAAAATCTCATTCAAGAAGGCGAACGCTGTCGTTTAAACAGATAATTCCACCAGGGTGTTTTTTTTTTTTTTGCACCTTTAGAGAATGCTTTTCATTCTGGTAGGTTGCTGCCTTGAAGTTGTTGCTGCTGCTGTTTCTTGTAGTGAGCGGGAATTTGTTAACAGTACACATATATAGCAGAAGGGGAGGAGAAAGCAGCATGAAATGCACAGATAAAGGCAGGCTTATACCCACAGTCTACATCTGGTGAGTCAGACTATGTGGAGTCAAGCTTTGTGTACATAAGTTTAATATATATAACAACATCGGCCCATAGATATCACAGTTTCTTACTCCCTAATATCACTATCAGCCCAAAACATCCAGTATCCAGTGCTAAATTCTAAACACTATGTAAGCTACATGCCAACAGATTACGCTAGAGTCCTAATCGCTTATGTCCGATGGGCTCAGGTCAGGAAATAGAATCCACTGGTCAGCAGTCCTTTCCCTCACACACATTCACAGATATTCACAGAAGAATTTATATTTCAGCCACAACATCTCTGGGGTTCTCTGTACCCCTGTACACTACTGGTTACACTTTTACTTTTCTGAATTTTGATGTGACTTGAGGAAAAAGTGTCCAGCTAGCTGTCTGTTTTTTGCATCCGAGAGGTCATTTAAAGGACGGTGTTGTAGCTATATGGTTCCCCGTGGTCTCCCTCTGACTCTCTGTGTGTCCTTTAGCTAGATGGCTCCCCACGGTTTCAGACCATCATGCTCAGCCTCAGGCCCTCTCTGTCCTCTCCTTCTCTCTATCACTGTCCCCCTTTTTCCTCACGTTTCCTCCTCATTTTCCTCCTGGTATCTTGCCCCTCTTTTCCTCTTCTGCTTTTATGTCCTTGAAGAGGTAATGACTGTCTGCCTGTCGTCTTATTCGCACCATCTTATCGCTCAGTTGTTCGCTCTCTCATTCCTTTCCTCTTGTTCTCTCTTTGTCGCTCTTTGTCCACATTTTACACACCTGTCTGTTTTAGAATGAAGCAGGTGAAGACTGCTAGGTCTGATTTCTCTTGTCTGACCCCTCTCCCCCATGAGCCACCCTCTGGAAGCTCCCTGTTGGCTGTCCAGGAAGGGTCGACAGATGACTAAGCTTCAGAGAACTCTGGCAGTGAAAATGAGCTTGGCAGACTTACCTTTTAGCTGTTTTCGCGAGTAAACAGAATTCATGTCCAATTTTACGTGACAAAAACAATTAATTTTTGCAGTGGATAAATGAGACAAACAAGTCAAATAACGATTGCCTCGCAATTATAATCATAACCACTAAACATGTTTTAATGAATGACATTTTTGGAATAATTTCGTTTGCCCCGAAGCATTTTGCAACTTGTTGTGAAAGGTGCCACAAGAATAAAGTTATTTTTATTAGTATTATTATTCTCCTGGTCCTCTGTCTCTGTGGCTCCTCTCCATCTCCCCTACAGCAATGCCCCCTGAAAACACAAGGTCATATGAAAGTGCTGTGTGCTCTGGGGTGCTGCAATAGGACACAACAAGTTTATCACAGAGATGTGGAGAGGAGAAGAGATCCCAGTCCTGCAGCGCCACATGACAACTTTACCACACATACACACAGCAGAGCAAGACCAGCAACAAATACACTCATAAATACACATAAAACACTTGCAAACAGACATTGATGGAAAACAACAAATTCACAAGCGTCTTTGTATGTTGTTATCCTTTTCGGTTCCATGTAACGCTTTTGTGAGGATATGGCACCGTAGATAAATCACTGCTGTCTGCTGTATCCTGAGTAATGTTTAACATGGTGTCTTGTTTCTTGTCTTTAGGATCCCAGTAGAGAAGAAGTCTTGCTGCAACAGCTGAGGGAGAAAGATGAGCTGATTCTCAGACTCCAGAGTGAACTGGTAGGATTCACTCACTAAACATACATGACACACGCTCGGGTGGCTTTGGGTCTAATATAAATGCAATACAAAACGTTGTCAGCATTTTTCATGAATTTCTTTGCACAGGATTTTTTTTTTTTTTTTTAGTTATTTTTTTGGCCTTTGTGCCTTTATTGGATAGTGTTAGTGAGAGAGAGACAGGAAAGTAGGGAAGAAGAATGGGGGGAGGACATGTGGGAAAGGGTCATGAGCGGGATTCGAACCCATGACCTCCACATTGGGACTGTAGCCCTGCACAAGGGCCACCAGCTCAACCAGGTGAGCTATAGCGGCACCCTGCAGAGGCTTTTTGATTGATACTAAATAAAGGACAAATTCACTTTGACTTGCTGACATAAGAAATGAACTATGATGCCACTGCTGGATGCCTGACTGTTGTTAGTGATTAGCACAGAGGTTTCACAGTTGTGGGAAGTATAACTTAAACCAGTAAAGCACTTTTTTTTTTCTTCAAATTATTCTAAAGTCTTTTCAACTAATAAGAGAAGCAACTCAAAGTTGAGACATTGAGAAGTGGAAGGTTTTCACATCTATTTTTATCTCTGTCACAGTTTCTTTCAGTTAGTCTCTGTTTTTCTGAACTTTGAAATTAATAATTAAAACAGCTTGAATGTTTTTAAATTATTTGTTTTAAGGATATAAATTAAAGACTAATTGCCTTTGAAGCATTCCCTTTTAAGACATAAAAATCTCTCTTTTCAGAGAGGTTAAAAAAACATTTCAAAGAACTGGAAAGTGAAACTTTTGTTAAAGTAGATTTGTCAGTTTTTCCTCTACTTGTGATGTTCTGCTATGCGAGACTGCGTACTGCAGAGGGCAGAGTGACCGGCCGTGTTAAAATGGAGGAGGTAAACACGAGAACGGTTTTTGTTCGTTGACATGAAGTCACAACATCAGTATCTGATGGCGTGGCAGCACAAAGCCTGTTTTTCTTTATCGTATGAGTATACAATCCTTGTTTGTGCCAGCCTAATGTCACAGCAGAACTTCTGGCAAGTCCTAATTTCTTTTAAAAATTGCCTTTGTAGATAACGATGGGAAGCAAGGCGTTGTTTTCATGTTGGGATAATTGGAATATCTAAACCATAACAATGGAGTATAGAGAATCAGGTGCAAACGACATTGTTTTGTCAGTGTTTTTTTTTTCTTCTAACGTTTTGGAAGCTTGATTGTCGCATCATCTCCAGAAATGCTCCATACGGCTACAATTTCCATCATTTGTCATTTACGCGTCTATAATTTGTCACCTGTTCTATCAAAGTAATGCAATGCTGACAGTGTGCCAACCCCGAGCAGAATAATGTGCCAGTGTTACAGCGGTGTGGTGCGAGATGCCAGTCCAACCCACTGACTTGAGTCTCATGAGGCATCTGTTTGTTTGATCACTTTCTGGCACTTGCTTCTAAATTTTTTTTTTTTTCGGTCTCTCCTCTCATCCCTCATCCCCTCTCTGTCTCCGTCTTCTTGTCAGCAGCAAATATACTCTGCTCTTCTCTTTATCAGTGGCTTGTATTCAGTCCCGTGTGCAACTAATGTGGAATTAATACCAAAAATTGAGCAAATTTGCAGACGCGCTGGCAGGTAGGCAGCACATGTAACGGTAATCTCTGTCTCTGAAATTCATGTTGACAGTCAAAGTAGCGTATTTACACTCACACACTAAAACAGCTTCTTACGCTCCACATCATATCTTCAATTTTGAGCAAATTTAATACTGAGGTCTTTGTATTACGTAGAAAATGTAAGTTTCACATTGCTTCCTATGCATTAGTTTCATTCTTCTCCTATTGTTAAATCTCTATGGGAGGACATCTCTGTGGGAAAATAATTTGGGCTTTTTATGGAATTTAAATCTACATTCATCCCTTTTCATTCTCAATGTTTATGAACAAACATTGGACCTAAATAACTTAATAAATGTGTATTATTAAAATGGATTGAGTCTGACCCATACAGCTGAAATGTGATATTAGAAAACATTTATCCTTTAAAGAAGTTGTCTACTGTCCTGAGTTGAAATCAATTACAATTTAAGTTAAATAGTGAGTTCTTTTCTTCATAGACTAAAAACAAAATGCAGGATTGACTACATACACATGGCGTCATATATTTTTAAGACTAGATGCACATCATAATAACTACATCTTTGTTTTAAATCATTTCTTGCAGTTCTTTTTTTAACAAACACATGGAACAGCTTGTAATAATGTACATCTGTAGTGTACATTTCTTTTCGCATAGAAATAGAATTAGATGTAACGTTTGAAATTGAGCACCTCTAAGTGAGACAGTTAAAAGTTTTTAAGATCGTAGTATTTAACCATGGCAATAAAAGATTATAGTGTCATGATCAAGAAGGTTTTTAAGCAGAATTTATTTCACCTAACTGTGTCTGGAAATCTGATAAGTGCTTTGGCAGGTGCACAAAACGACTGATTTAAACACAAATGGTGCTATAGCAGTGTCAGAGTAATATTACTTTATTGGTCTGATCCAAGGAGTGTCAAAAATAGCTGATGGTGGGCACACTTATTCACCAACTGTCTCCCTTCAACAAGAGGTTTCTTTCATTTTTTATCTGTTGCAGAGATGGGTAATTATCGTGATTTTCAAAGGGTGTTCTGTTAATGGAAACCTCAGTCATATAAACGTACAGTTCATTTATTACCTCTCTGACAGGTGCGGCCGCTGAATGTATCGCTAACATATAAACATAAAGTGGCAGGTTATAGGCTGCTGTTAGGGTTTTTTTTTACATCTGGACTAAAATTTTACTTCATTGTGCAGTATATCTTATTCACCTGGACAGGTCACCAGTCTATCACAGGGCTACACTTAGAGACAGACAACCAAGCACACTCACATTCACACCTACAGACAATTTAGAATCACTAATTAACCTCAACATGTTTTTGGACTGTGGGAGGAAGCCGGAGAACCCGGAGAGAACCCACACTGCACAGGGAGAACATGCAAACTCCACGCAGAAAGATCCCGGGTGTCCTCACCCAGAATGAGAACCGGTGACCTTCTTGCTGTGAGGCAACAGTGGTCAAGCCACCTTGCAGCCCAGTGATTTAACTTATAAAATAGAATTGTAAACTTTCTTTGAGACTAAAGGTAAGACCTTGTGTTAAATGAATGGATTAGATGCATTTGAAAATTACATTAACACAGCTGAAGACAAGATAAACCTGGCAGTCTCACAGGTACAGACTAGACGTGGGTATGTCTAATAATCTGAATGTGCTGCACACAAATCAAATAAAGTGTACACACAACACAAATATGGCAAATATTAGCGACACTCGTTTAATGCAGCCTATGAAATACCAAAACCAGTGACGTTAGTTTGTGTGTCAGTACCTTCTGACCTTCCCGTCCACTGGCTCTCCACCATGAGCACATTCATTTCTTAGTTTGTTTGTTTTGTTTTTTTCTATAGAAAGACACAATGTACTTATAATTATGTTTCCTAATCCAACAAGACACTCGTATTTAACATGACTTCACGCAGGAGTAAATGCATTTTCCGTACGATTTTAATCTGCAGGTTTGTGAGTATATGCAGCATGTGTAAAATTTTGAATGAATGTTAAAGAAGGATCATTTCACCCGGTTAATACAGTGTTGAGTCATTGGACAACAATAGAGGACTAATCACAGAGGATTTAGCTATTCTCTATCACACTTTGAATACGCACGCTGTACACGTCAGGAGTATCAAATCATTGTTGGCTGTCATCGGATTCCTGAGTTATTAATCAAGCCTCCAGGTTTGTCTGTTATTTCTCCTATACGCTTTTTTTCTTCTGTCTTTTTTGCTCATACGCTGACAAGGAGAGTTTTTTTTTTTCCCCTCACCACATCACACATGGATCCATCATTCTGAGGTTAGGGGATGCAATTGCCTGTGCGTGTACACATACACACAAATGCTGATCCTCCCCTTGACTGTGTGTGTATTCCTCTGTTTGGCACTTGTCTCTGACAGAGATGTTCTGGCTCCTGCCACCAGCTGGATTTGATTTCCAGACACACTGTATACGGCTTGTGTATTTTTACGGGGAAAAGTCTGCATATATCTGTCTGTGTGTATATTAATAAATTGTCTAATACTAGGCCGTATCCTTGCTGTGCTGCAGTCACAGCCTAACCTTATTTTTATCTGCACCATATGCCCTTGGAACACAGGGCATTGGCATTGCTTCAAATTTATGAAGTGATGCAGTTTTGGGAGCATGTTGTGCGTGTGAACATTGGCGAGGGTGTATACTTGTCTGTGAGTCGAAAAGAGAAACCTTGCCTGCTACAGCTAAGTTAAAGTGCAGCATTTGAAGGAAAGGGCAGCTCATAGCCAATGCTCTCCTCGCTCTGCCTCCTTCTGTAAATCTGCCAGTGAAAACCTATTAATTATCTCCTAGAAGGACCTGCTAGCTGGCTGGCCATCACTACCTGTCACTTTTTATGAGTTTTCTCCCCTCTCTGCTGGCGCATTTTGTTGAAGGACCGTGCTCCAACTGCAACATTTAGCAGCAGAGAGCCTCTCTTGTTTCTCGTGTGGTGATTGACGTGATTAATGAAAACAGATTTTTAACTCACTTGTGCTGTGTTTAAAGAGGACAAGTATATGTTTGAGCTGTAACGTAAATTACTCCTCTTTCACTCTCTTTACCATAAACCCATCGTTACACCATGTCCTAATTTGCTTGATTAATTTTAATCAAGGTTAATGAATTTCTCAATATTTCATAGCCACCGCAACTTTCAACCCCGTTCTGTTCCTCAGCTCATAAGCAGTGTAGGGCGAGCATGTCAGGATGATTAGTGACATTGTCATAAAATGCTCCTGGTGGAAATAGAGTGGGTTCTTCACATTCAGAGGACCTGCTTTTTCAAAATAATCACATACATGGCAGTCGACAGGTTCTTGGTCAAGGTACAAGTGCTGAGATTTGAAGGAAACGGCCGATGCTTTTCTCTCTACACTTCCATCTGTAAATCTGCCAGAAGAAACCTATTAATTTTCGCCTAGAAGGACCCTTCTAGCAGACCGGCCAGCACTAGCTGTCACTTTTTTTATGAATTTTTCTCTACTGGTACATTTTGCGGGGGGTCCCTGCTCCAACGTTTGCCGATAGAAAAGTTGTCCTGCGAACCAGCCCAGTTTTATGATTTCTTGGGTTTCCAGAAGGGGCAGCCTGTGGGAAGAAGTGGCTGAGGCTCTGTACAGTTGCAGTTTTTTTTGTTTTCTTTTAATACGTAGCTAAACATGGAAGCCAGCTGTACCAAGTGTTACGAGTGGAGGCAATGCGCAAGTCTGCTGGGAGAGTAGTTGTTCTCATTTATTTGTATTTGATGTTTTTTTGTGTCTGTGTGTGTGTGTGTGTGTGTATGAAATTTTGGACACGGCTGATGTGTGTGTGTGTTTGTTTTGTATGCAGGAGAGTGCCAAAGCTGCCCTGAAGATGAAAGACTGCCAAATGACTGACCGCACAACACAGACAGAACACATGGGGCCAGAGGTGAGATACTCACAGACAGCACGCCCAGTCTCTCTTTCTCGCTCTGTCGGCCTCAAACTCTCAGACAGTGCATTATGCACTACAATCTAGGATACCTGACCCGGATTTCTTATCCCTAAATGAGGCTCAGTTTTAACAAAAATCTTCCCTGCAAGCTTCTTCCTTTTGTGTTTCTCTACTTTGTTATCCTGTCCGGTGATAATACGTTTTATGCTGAGCCACAGCAGCCTTCTCTCCGCCCTTCCTTCCTCCCTGTTCCATCTCTTTAAGAGCATCTTTTCAAGTTGAGCTAAAACTCTAATCCATCTTACTCTTTCTAAAGATGTTTTGCTGCAGTGACAGTCATATTATAGTCCACTACCAGCTCCTCCCCTTCTTCCTCCAATTCCCACATTCTCAGAGAGAGCTGTGCTGCTTCCTACCTGCCTGCCTGCCTAATGCCCTCAGCTGACATGGCCTCTTTGGCTTCACTGGGAGCTGACAGTATGGGAACGCAGCAGACTTAATGGATGACTGTCTAAAAATGGCTGCCTGTAACGGAAACAGGAGCAGAGTTTTGGGGTCTGTTTCTTTGTCTCTCTTTTCTATCTTTTAAAAAACTTTTCTTCGTCCCCTCTTCTTCTCCAAAGGTTCTTTTCTACCTTTAATCCTCCTGTGTGTAAAGTTGGCAAGAAACATTGATAAAGAGGGAACGCTTTGCAATTGTGTGAGTGAGTGGGTGCACGGTATCCACACTGACACATTGATTTACCCACACACACACACAAACGATAATGTTTGAGTTTACTCATGCAATGTCAAGTTCAACACGAATGCATTATTGAGACATAAAAGAAATAAAGGTTTGCATGAGCAGCAGTGTTTCTCTACCTCCACAGAATCTGTAAAGCTGAAGTACAGAGTTATGTATTGTTTGGTTATTGGTACACTGATGATGATGATTCAAGTTTTACTGTTATTTACAATTGCAGAGGGTGGAAACCAGTTGCAAGTGGTAGGAGAAAATGCTCTTTCACAAATGTGTGCGACAAACTATAGTTATACATACTATCAGTTAATGTGTTGGAGTCAGTTACAGTCATGCCACTCCATAACATAATGTACTGACATCTGTGGAGTGGAGTACAGAATACTGAGGAGAGTCACCTATAGCTATAAAAGCAGCCAACACAGTTAAATGAACAGTTATGATTCTGCTCTACCACTTTATAATGAAGTACGAAGCTTTGCCTCCCCAGCCTGTCATGATATTTACTCCATGATCTCAAAGCCTGTGCAGAATATTGAACTGCAGCAGACCAGTTTGATGGGCGAAACTTGTGCAACATCTAGGTGGTGGCAGAACATGGCCCGAATTATGCATTCACAGTGGGTCTGATAGCGTATTTGTACTTTGCCACTCATGTTATGGACATACACATAAAACACGTCACTCTCACATAACAGTTAAGGCAATTAAACAGATGAATGGATGCGTATGAAACTTGTTTTAGCTTTTGTCTCCATTACTAGAAATGAAAGCTATGTGGAGTCATGATCCTGCAGTAGATGTGCCTATTGTTGAAAGCATGTATTTTAATATAAAGTTCTGTGTCAGTCACATGTTCACCAAATAATAATAAAAAAACAAGCACAGATCTAGTTGCACTTCACACAATGCACTCTAGACTAGATCCACACAGGCACCAAGAAATGCAGTGAATCTTGACACCAAAATTGCCGTCTAGTGCGGGATTGCTAGGGACACTCCCCCTACTTTGTTTCTTCTGTGATGCACAATGAGTCACCAAAACGGGTGCAGGCAATGCAGGACCTCACTGTGCCTGTGGAAAAATATCACTTTGCTGCTACATTTGCATGAAGTTACAGCTGTGAATCCTATAATTTTATCCTACCGGTGAATTTTTTTCCTTTCATTTTCTCCGCTTTACTTTCTTATACATCCATCGCAATAACATGCACACTGTTACTGCGTGTCTGCGTCGCGCTCCGTTTGCCGTCATTGACTAATGCATTTCTAATAATGCCGCCTTAAATGGCCATATGTAATGGCATATATGTTATTAATGGAAGTTGAAGCAAGCGAGGGTTTGGGCTGTGCCGTTTGCGTTGGTGTGCAAATTTGTATGCATGTCCATGTGTTTGTCCCTGCCCATGTGTCTGCCTATGTGAGTGTGTGTGTGTTTGTTTGTGAAGCAGCCATTAGTCCTGGCCTTGGACAGCAAAGTCAATAAAACGCTGTTGAAAGTGTCAAAGTATCTTCAGTCAAATAGGTTTAGTTTTTGCCTCCAACTGTATAATTCAGACATTATTGTGGTTGTTTTTGTGTCGTGCTTACGTGTCGTCATGCCTCCTGTGGTATAATTTGCACATCAGTGTGGTCATACCATTAACAGGGCATGAATTTAGAAGAAAGTGCTGTTTTACTTACTGTTTGTCCGATGTTTTTGTCTGAAGAGAATGGACTGTACGTTAAGATGTCAGAGAATTTTAAGCTGTTTAATACCCTCAGTCGTAGTATATTTTTTCTGACATTTTAATTGCTTTTAATTATTTCATTACTAATTTCCGACAGTCGTCTTGATTTGCCTCACCAGGACCACCTGCAGTGAAAAAAGATGCTCTGTCTTTGTTCTTATGAAGTGAGATTTAATCTCAAAAGATTCACTCAATTATATCACCTCCGTGAGGTGAAGTGGTTTGATTAACTGGCAGATAATCATTTGAATTCAAGAAGTACTGCTAAGTATCTCATCTGCTCTGCAGGTGGAAAACAGTGATGTTCAGGAGCAGGGCAATAATATATATATATCTTTTGAACATGTTCATTGCTGTTCTGGTGGTATTTAGGAGTTATTTTAGTGTTTTCAGCCTCTTTTACTGCATAGTGTCTGGCCTTATCTTCCTAATGCAGAAAAGCCAACTTTAGGAAGTCTGGCCAGTACTCAGGCGTATGGTTTTGCTATCTATTATAAGACTATTACCTAGCTATAGAGTCCTCCATATGCTCAGGCCCCTTGAGTAGATGGGCCCTTAATTAGAGGAGCAGCTGGCTGCCCGCTAGCAAGCTAGGCTAGCAGCACAGGTGACTTAACTCAGCAGTAGCTTACAGCATGTGCGGCCTGATTTCCGCCCCCCTCCCCACCCCAACGTGTGCGTGCATGTGTGTATGAAAGAGAGTGATAGAGGTTGAGTGTGTGTTCATGTATGTTTGCGAGTGTGTGGGAGATGCTACGGCATGGAGCAAGCTTATATAGGTTACCTACCCCAGTGCATCGAGGACAGTCGGCTAGCAACAAAAAGTGTGTCTACAAGTGGGGCAGCTATTTCTACTGCTTCCACCACTTCACGGGGTCGACCATCTCACTCATCCTCCCTCTCTCCGCCTCACTCTCCTTCTTTTCTGGAACGTCCTCTTACTGCTCCTCACTCTGTTGTCCTGCTCCTTCTCTTCCACCTGCTTTTGGTTGCCGGGTCTCTGGAAGTGGAGAAGTTAGCTTTGAGAACTCCTCTCCTCTCCTTCTCCTCTCCTCTCCTCTCCTCTCCTCTCCTCTCCTCTCCTCTCTCCTCTCCTCTCCTCTCCCAGGTTTCCGGGGCTTCAGGAATTCATCAGGGATTCTCCTGCCCTGGTTTCCCTGCGCCGGACACTCTGTCCCAGGGACAGCTCCTGGCCCCCACACTCTTAGAAAAGTTAGCCTGAAGTTGTGTTTCTGTGGGACAAAGTTTCCTTTTTATTCTACTTTAATACTTATGTCTCGCTTAGTTCCAGGAAGGTCAAGAAAAGGAAAAGTCACTTGGCTAGCCGTAGCGTATGCCTCATTCCTCAATAATATGACACGTCGCTCTTTCAGATGATTGTTTGCATTAATTTTGAGTCCCAATTAAATTACAGCTTCGGTGACATCTTGTTTCTACAGCTGTAGTTTGGAAATTGAATTGAATACCTGAAAAATTAACTGTTTTGTCAAAGCTGTCATGAATAATGGGACATTTAGCATTTATCATGCAGCCTTTATTCTCCCGTCCTCTTACAATATTTTCTTTCCTCGATTTATGTAGATAAACCTGTTTTAAATGCAGTACAGTGAGAAAAAAAACTACAACTCTCAATCTACCAGATGTCAGTCCTGTCCTCGTGATCGTCTGTACATGGAACCAAAGCTGCTCTTACTTCTCGCATAAAGAAAGTAAAGACAAAAGTCGGACCTCAGCAACTGAACAGTTAAACTTTGTGAGTTTCATCAACAACCATAAGAAAGTTCAACCCTCTAATGTAAATAAAAAGCGTCTATCAGAAGATATGTTATGCTGCAACCACTGGTTTCCTCAGGTATTGCAGTAAATAACACTTTCGAAGAATATTTTGCAATGTAGTCTTTGTCATTTTGACCCTGTGTAGGTCACATAGAACTGTTTTCAGGTACTGAACAATGGTACTACAAATGGTATTCTGGGACCTTGTCAAAAGGGAAAGAAGACCCAGATATCCCCCCTAAGAGCTGACAAGTGGCAGCGTATGTGAGTCAAACACAAAATGAAAAGTGTGGACTGACCCCATTTTTTTTTTTTTTAAATTCTGCACTTAAAGATTTTTTCCTTCTGCGAATGTGCCAATGTAGAGTTGGCAGGTAAGGTGAAAGGGAAACTGAGAAAGAGTATAAAAAGAGGGAGGTTAGAGAGAAAAGACGAGGAGCTATTTTATGTCCCGCAGAGACTCTTAAGAGCTGGAGGTATGGTGGCTGTTTGAAAGTTTTTTTAGAGGGGATTGAATCGATTGAGATTGCTTTCTTTCAGCGAGCTAATTTCATGGGCATTCTTAAAAGGAGCATTTTATGGGGGGAATCAAAAGCTCTTGATGGTTAGCTCACTCACGCTCCCTTTCTCACTCTGTCTTTCTCGCTCTCTTCCTCTGTCGTTCTCTATTCTCAGTAGATTTGCGCAACTTTATTTTTTTTGTCTCCTCTTTCTGCCTCTTTTTTTTGTTCCCCCCCTTCTTTGCT